TTCCCCTCTGTGTGCTTCAGCTCCCTTATTTGTAAAATCAGGGGTTTGAACCTGATCCATGGCTTTAAAATTGTGCTCCAGTCCTGGGGTGTCTGGACCAGCCCCAGGAGAAGGAAGGACAGAGTGGGAGGGGCTCCAGCCCTCCTGCCAGGCTCTGAGCAGACCGTTGGCATACTTGGTTTTTGAGCGAGATCTGGTTTGAGGAAAGGGCCTCTGCCACTAGGCACAGGTCTGCTAACCACGAGTCCAGGGGACCGGAGCCTGCGTCAGGGACAGCCGGGGGCGTGGCCGAGACCCAGGTCCCAGCCGCAGCAGGGAGAGGGACGCACACCCCTGTACTGGGGGCCGTGTTATCGCTGCCGTTCTGAACTGCGTCACCACCCAGCGTCGCAAGCAGGGAGACGGAAGGGCAGCATCTGGTTTCCATCTGGACCCCTTTTCTCCTGTTCCGTTGTTTTCCTCCTTGTGCCAGGGGTGTTCAACAGCCCAGAGATGCAGGCCCTCCTCCAGCAGATCTCGGAAAACCCCCAGCTGATGCAGAACGTGATTTCAGCTCCCTACATGCGCAGCATGATGCAGACGCTGGCCCAGAACCCCGACTTCGCTGCTCAGGTACGGAGCTGCCACCGGGGGGGCGCGCTGGGGGCGGTGACTGGCGCTGGTCAGGTCAGTCCCGAGCCAGACCGCGGGGCGGGCGTCTTAGGCCCGCCGCCTCTGAGCTAAGCCCTTTACGAGCCTCCCTCCTGGTTTGTTTGCTGTGAGTGCTCGTGGCGGTGGCTCCTCCCTCACGGAGCTGTGCGGGCTCTGGGAGTGCATACGAGGAAAGTGCGCAGAAGGCGGCTGGCGCCGCGTGAGCACCGTGAACTTGCAGAACTGCTGCCAGCACCAGGGTGGGGCTGGGTGCCCCGGCTTGCGGCCCGGAGTGTGGCTCCATCTCCTCCCGCTGCCCCACGTCGGCCTCCGGGGGACCCCGAGACCCACACTTCCCGCAGTGGTGAGGGTGCTGGGGGGCGATTCTTGGGGAGGGCGGGCCCAGGCCTCCCCTCCTGCCCTCCCCCCTGCAGATGATGGTGAATGTGCCGCTCTTTGCGGGGAACCCCCAGCTCCAGGAGCAGCTGCGCCTTCAGCTCCCCGTCTTCCTCCAGCAGGTGCGTGAGGGGCCAGGAGTGGCGGCTGGGGGGGTTGAAGGGCAGGGCAGAGCTCCGGCCTCGGGCGTGGGTGGCCTCCCGCATCCTGCCACCTCCCACCGCCTTCCTGTGCCTGTTTCCCGCCAGATGCAGAACCCGGAGTCCCTCTCTGTCCTCACCAACCCCCGCGCCATGCAGGCCCTGCTGCAGATCCAGCAGGGCCTGCAGACCCTGCAGACCGAGGCCCCTGGGCTGGTACCCAGGTGAGGGGGGCCGGGGCGGGGGGGCAGCGAGGTGTGGGTTCCTCCTCCCCTGGCGCTCCCCGCTGCCACTGTGCGTCCGAGGGTCTGCTCTCCTCCCTCCGCTCTTCCTTCTGCACCTCACGCGCCCGTCCCTTTCTCAGAGGCTGCCTCCCACCTCTTGGTCTCTCCTGCCTGCAGCCTTGGCTCCTTTGGGATGTCCCGGACCCCGGCACCCCCAGCAGGCAGCAACACCGGGGCCGCGCCCGAGGCCCCCACCTCCTCGCCGGCACCCCCTGCCACGTCTCCTCCAGCAGGGGCCTCCGGTGCCCAGCAGCAGCTCATGCAGCAGATGGTCCAGCTGTTGGCTGGCGGTGGGAGCTCACAGGTACGCGGGGCGGCCGGCGCGGGGGGCTGAGCAGCAGAATGGAGACAGCGGAGCGCTCGGGGTCAGCCAGCCCCGCGCTCCTCGGGTCCTAGGCGGCCACTTGCTGGCCTTGCGGGGGTTGCCGCCATCCCCAAGTTCCCTTTCCACAGCTGTGGAGTGGGGCTGGGAACAGTGACCGTCCCGCTGGCTGCCAGGCACCGCTCTGAGTGCTCCGTGGGAGCGCGCGTTCGCGCTGAGCCTCACCACGCCTTGTCAGCGAGCTGCATCTCTGTCATAAGGGGAAAAGGGAGGCGCAGAGAGGTGAAGTGCCTCGCTCAGAGTCCCCCAGCCAGTGAGCCGGTAACAGAGCCGAGATCCCAGCCCCGGCATGTGGCTCCAGAATGTGCGCCTCAGCCACCGTGCCCCGGCCCTGGTGCTGGTATCGTAGGGCTCCTGGAAACTGAAGCCCTGTGGCTCTGAGGCTGGGGAGGAGTGTCCTGGGGCATGGGGTCACTAGAGCCCTGGACCACAAAGGCAAGGCCAGGGCGTTGGCTGAGGAGTAGGGTAGACCTCAGGCGAGGCCCTTCACCTTTCTCTGGCCTCTCCCGTGGCTCCGTGTGTGCACACGGCCGGGGCCGGAGCACATGTAGAGCGTGCGTCTTCCTGACTGCAGAGTGTTCGGCTCCCAGAGTGCCATGAACACGTCCAGAGCGCTGATGGAAAGAGTTAGGAGCATGGGCTGATCTGTTTGAAATGTCCGGAAAGGCGTCCCCCCCCTTCTGTTACACGGTCGTTTCGTGGCCTGGGGAGCAGCCTCCTTGGCCCCTGTTGGCAGCTCACCCCGCCCTGCCCACTGGTTGACCCTGAGGATGTGCGAGAAGACCTACTGCTCCCCTTCCCTCGGCCGCACACCTCAGATTCGACTGGGCCCCGGGGGGGGTTCCCCCCCCCACCTCACAAGGCCTGTCCCTCCAGGTGCAGACGCCAGAAGTGAGGTTCCAGCAGCAGCTGGACCAGCTCCACTCCATGGGCTTCATCAACCGTGAGGCCAACCTGCAGGCCCTCATTGCTACCGGAGGGGACGTCAACGCGGCCATCGAGAGACTCCTGGGCTCGCAGCTCTCCTAACCGCCCGGCCGCACCACCCGCCTGCCCCCTCCCTCTGTGCCTGCCGTCCCCATCTTCTCCCTGTCCCTCCAGACAGCAGGCTGGCTTCAGGGCCGCGGGCCTGGCCCCGGAGCTCTGAGAATTGTGGGTTTACTTGCACATCTCTTACAGAGTCTGCTATCCGGGTCCCGCTTGAGCGGGGCTGCGCGAGCCGTTTTCCAGTGTCGTGGGCCGGCCCCAGCTCCTGGCCCTGCCGCCAGCCTGCAGACGTCCCGGTGGTGGCGTGGGGTTGGCAGGGGGACTGCCATCTGCTCTGCGGGGACGGGGTGTTCCTCCGGGGCCTAGGGTTTGGCTTGTATGGTTCCTTGTGGGGACTCTTCCTTCTCTCCGCCCCCTCCTCCCACCGGCAGCCTGATCCGAGCTGGGGTCACACACTCGGAGGGAGGGGCAGGTGCACAGGCTGCCTTTTCCTCCTCACCCCCTGTCCTGGTCCCTTCATCCAGGCTTTGTTGGGATGTCCCGAGAGAGGAGATGCCTGTCCTCCCTGTCTAAAGGGGGAGGCGACCGCCCTCTCTGTACAAGGAACTAACAAGCCCCGGACCAGCCCCATGGAGATTTGCTAGAGGAAGGGAAGGGGGAGAAGGACCCAAGTCAAAGGCTCAGAAGTTGGAATTGACACTTGGGGAACGGAAGCCCTAGTAGCTGTTTTAGGCGGGAGAGCGCAGGCTCAGGCCTGGCAGAGAAGGCCTAGAGATGCTCACAAATTGGAGCTGAAGGAAGGGGCTCACAGGGGCTCCTACCGGCTCCGGGGCCAGGACCTGCTGGTGTCCCCAGGTACCACTGGTTTGAGCCCCCCTCAAAAGACATGAAGGGCTTGGGGTCTGTCTCAGCAGTGGGTGTGTGTGTGCTGGCTTGCGCACACACACTTGCTCAGTGAGTTGCACAGGACGGTGGGTTCTTTGTTGATTACTGGTTCCGAGCTCTCTCCCACCACAGAGGAGTGGGCGAAAGGGCCAGTCTGGGGCGAGAATACATACAGTCCAGCCAGCCAGGCCCCTCGGGTACCCGAGGGTAGTGCGGTTACCCCTCCCAAAGCTGTCAGGGCTGTGAGCAGCACCCCTCCCACCCCTCCCCTCCTTGCTGTTGGGGGGTAGTACAGCAGTCTCTCCCCTGCAGTCCCTGGCCTTTGGAGTCTTCACTGTTTCTTCCAGGCCAGAAAGTTCTATTTGAGGAAGGAAAGGAGAGGGCGGCAGCCATGCCTTTGATCTGGAGTTGGACGTTGCTCTGTTGGAGCGCAGAGAAGGCTCTTCTCTCCGCTGCGTAGGCCGGCTGCTCGGAGTTCCCACGGCCGAGCGTGCGGAAGGGAGAGCAGCAGAATCTTCTCCAGATGGGAAAGGGTCCCGAGCAATCCAGAGAGGATGTCTGTGTGGCTCCCCCACTCCCCGACGTCCACACTGGCCTTTGTAAATAAATGACGTGGTCTTTGTTGTCATGATGTCTTGGAGTTTGTTTTCTGGGGGAGAGGAGGCTGGCTGACGACAACTTGGTTCGAGGAGGTTTTTATAAAGTGGGATCTGGAGGAAGTGGCAGTTGGGTTCAGTGGGCAGAGGTGAAGGGAGAGCTGGTGGAGCTCAGTCGGGGGCTCAGAGCCGGGAAGGGCTGCGCGGCGCCAGTCCCCATCCCCCGCTCCGGGCGGAGAGGAGTGTAGAAAGGTCCTTCCTCCCTCTGATGTGATGGCAAGACTGTTCTCCCCTCACCTCAGGGAAAAAGGTCAAAACACAGGAGAGCCTTGCAGTCCAGACCTTCTGCAAGTGAAGTCTAGGAGCTTTTGGTCTTGAGCTCCGAGACCAAGCCTGGCCGGCGCGTCCCGCGGCTCGTGTGAACTGAGGGAAGTCTAGTGATGGGTTGTCCCGTGCACGAGGTTATGGACGAGGCCACCGTGCAACAGGACGGAGCCGTCAGTGGGAGGCCCCACTTCGGGTAACGTGGACTGGACGTCCCACACCAGCACTTTCACTACACTTCTTTTTTTCAAGATTTTATTTATTTTTTTGAGAGTGAGCACAAAAGCAGGGGGAGCGGCAGAGGGAGAAGCAGGCTCCCCGCGGAGCAGGGAGCCCGATGTGGGGCTCGATCCCAGGACCCTGGGACCATGACCTGAGCCGAAGGCAGACGCCACCCAGGCGCCCCTCACTACGAGTTTTAAAAGCTGGGTGAAAAACAGAAAATACCGGAAAAGCATCAAAGGGCCAACAAGACAGGTGCGGAGTGCAAGGGGGTGGGAAGGCCCGAAACGCTGCCTCAGACCCGGGGCTTCTGTCCAGGGGAAAACATGGCCGAGGGGCTGAGTTGTGCTTGGAGAGCCTGGAAGGACCGGAGCTAGGGGGACAGGAAGGGGGTCTGGGGATGCTGGTAAAGATCCAGCACTTGGTCCAGGGCCCTGAAGGATGAATTGGGAACAAACCAGTCACGGATTCTGCAGTGGAGCACCATTCTGGGTGGCCCGGAAGTTCTCAAGCCTCAGACCTGGAATAAGACGATCCCAGATGGCTGGCGTCTCCAGATGCTAGGTAGAAGCAGCAGAAATCTCCAGGAACATAACGTCAACCACAGTAAAAGTGAATGAAGCACCGACAAGATAAGGCACTGCCCGCGAGACCAAGCAGGAACGAGGGACAATGGATGGACCCACGGCAATTCCGTCGGCTGGAATTACAGACAGAGACGAAAATGGCTGCTTAGCATTTCAAGCTAAAGACCCAACTTGGAAGTTTCAGCAGAGACCAGGAACTACCAAACGAGATGTGGCACGATGGCAGAAAGACCAAGTGGAGAGTGGGCAGAGGGAGAGGGAGAAGCAGACTCCCCGCTGAGCAGGGAGCCCGACACAGGGCTCGATCCCAGGACCCCAGGATCATGACCTGAGCCGAAGGCAGACACTTCACCGACTGAGCCACCAGGCACCCCCAGGATGGAAGTTTTCCCACCCAGCAAATAAGCACAATGTGTACCCGCCAAACAACCTAGAGGGAGAAAAATAAAGTGAGGACTCAAAAGCAAGACAAAAAAAAAAAAAAGTCCAGGAGATTTTTCAGGTTGGGGAAGCGATCGTGCACGATCCTGCCCTGGTGGATCTGTGACACTGTGCACTTGCCAAAACCCATAGAACTTTCCAGCAGAGGAAACCCTAGGGTATGCAAACTGGAAACACACATGCCATCTGGGAAGTCAGGGGACCCCGGGACGGGAGGTAGAATGTAACCAGAGGATCTAAGTCTATTATAAATGTATGCAATCACATAGGCATAGATGCGGACTCAGGCTACTCGGAAATGAGTGGAATTTGTAAAAGCAAAGACAAAGGAAACCTAGCGCTGTGCTCTGGTTGGGACGTGTCCCATGGATGTCTTGTTAACAATCCTGATACCCCAATAGACGGAGCTAGAACTGAACAACTAAGTAAATGGTGGGTCCCCAGGGGAGCGTGGTTCTCACTGTGGGAGCCGGAGTTATAGACAAGCGAGGGGATGAGGCTAGAATGACCCACGTCCTAATGGATTTGAGGTGGAGACATCAGCATGAACTCGTGTTTAGCTTAATTCAGATGCAGATGGAAATATCTGTAGATGCGCGAGTTAGCACACGTCCGTCCTTGCTCCCCGTGGAGAGGGGGCCCTTGGGGCAGTTGGTGGCTTCATGCGCACCTGGTGCCCAGGCCTTGGTCTCTAACTCTATTTTCCAGTGAAGGCATCCGGGGCTCCTCGGAGGAGCGGCTGATGCCGGGACAGGAGTTGTGCTAGAGGAGGCAGGAGCCTCCCGTAGGAAGGGAAGACCCACAGTGACTGGGCCATGGCATGAGGGACACAGGAGCCCCTGAAGGACCTCCCAATGGCCAAAGCTGGAACAACGTGACCAACAAATAAAGTGGCGTAGAATTATAACCCAGAGTGTAAAGTACATGCCCATGAAGCTACTGATACAAATAAATAAGTGAATAAAACATGGGTGAAAAAAGACAGATGTGTGCAGAAAAATTCTGAACAACTTATGTCAGTATTCTGCCTAAAGGAGGCATAGTATAACTCCCCACCCCTCAGGTGTGGGCTGCACAGGCTTCCCTTCCAGAGTCTGGAAAGGGGGCGGGGGGCGGGGGTGACTTTAGAGAGGGGACACGACCTCAGCCTGGGGGCAAGGTCAACGATAAATCATGTTGAAAGCATGTACTCGAGATGATGTGATAAAAACAGCATTTGACCTCTGTTCTCTTCTTCCCCAAATGCATGACCCCCGTCTAAGCACGAGGACAACACCATGCATACCCCATCTGCGCACTCCCCAGAACTGTCAAGGTCATCAGAAACAAGGAACGTCTGAGGAACTGTCACAGTCAAGAGGAGCCTAAGGAGACAGGACAATCAAATGTAACGTAGCATCCGGGATGGGAGCCTGGAACAGAAAAAAGATATTAGCTAAAAACTAAAGAAATCTAAATGAAGTACGGACTTTACTTAATAATAATGTATCAGTAGCAATTAATTCACTGTAACAGATGTGCTATGGTAATGTAAGGTGTTAAAAATGGGTGTGGGGTATATAGGAACCCTCTTCACTGTAACAGTTTTTTTTATAAATCTAAAATTGTTCACAATAAAAAGTTTATTTAAGGGGCGCCTGGGTGGCCCAGTCGTTAAGCGTCTGCCTTCAGCTCAGGTCATGATCCCGGAGTCCTGGGATCGAGCCCCGCATCGGGCTCCCTGCTCGGCGGGAAGCCTGCTTCTCCCTCTCCCCCTCCCTCTGCTTGTGTTCCCTCTCTCGCTGTG